TCGTGAGCTTTCCTCTGTTTACTTTGTGATTTTTCTTAAGACGGTCGTCGATCGTCCTGCTTTTAGTGACTTCGCTGAGGACTTATTTTTTGCTTTGCAACCGAGATACTACCTCCCCCGCTAGTTGTTGATATCCGCGAGTGGGTGAGCGCAATTCTTCCTTACACGGTAGGGGCCTTTCCAAGAGAAGTTTGGGCGCAAGCCTCTTACTGGTGAGTCTGCTTGTTGTAGTTTTACTTTGTTCTCTGCTTCATAGTTTAACCTTGTTGTTATATGATCTAATCCCTCCTTGTTGACAGGGCGGAGAGGAGTGATAAGGACAAGGGCTCCTCCGCTTGTATTCCGTCAACCGGCTCCTTCTGCCCGACCTGTGCCGAGGGTTGCTGCACGGCCTGCACCAAGAGCTACTGCCGACCTGCGCCCGTAGTTGAAGCCGTGTTCTTGGAGGTTACTCCTCATCCGGAGATTCCGATTCCCGCAGTTCGTTCAACAGGCAAATCTTTCTGCGTAAGCAGTGGAAAGGCCCCATCGAAGAGACGAAGGGTAGTGTTGGAAGAGGCTTCTCCAGCTGAAACATCTTCGAGGGGCGACCTTGCCTCAGCGGTGCCCAAAACCTGCGGCGGTGTCAACATGGCCGTAGAGACGACGCCTATTGTGAGCGTTCAAGGGGCTAGTATGGCAGAGAGACGGAGTTCCGAGGCTGCCATTGCGGTTTCGGGTGGCCCTTCGACATCTCGGCAAAATCGCGCCCCCTCTTCGGCCAATAAGAGGGGGAAGGGCGTCATGGTTGAGGATTATAAATCTGAATCCGACATTGACCCTGAGGACATGAGGATGTTCCAAGAGGGCTTTACCCGAACTATGGTAAGAGCGGAAGGTCCTTTCCGAATACTCGAAATTCTGTCGGATCTCAACTTTCTGCATGACACGGTTGATTTGGTGCCGCAGTTCGATCTTCAATGCTCCGCCACTGAAAGTGGAGCTCTTCAGGATGTCAGGGATTCTGAGCTGTCATGCGTTGTGGCCGTGATGGGCCTAAGTGTGAGTCCATTTTGTTTTTCTTTGCTTTGTGACCTTTGTTTTTACTGACTCTTTTCTCCCCTTTCTTGTTCCCCATTTTTTAGACTTACATGTTAGAGGCTGAGAGTGCTCGTAGGGCCGAGACGCGGGCCGAGATTTTTCTAAAGATGGCCGAGAAGTATCGACGGTATCGCAATAGATGTCGTGATATACATGAGTAGCTCAGAGCGGGTGCTAGTACCCAGTCAACCAGAGAGGAGTTGGAGAAAAGAGATGAGGAACTGATGTGGTCTATCCGTAGATGTAGTGAGCTTGAGGAGCTACTTCATGCCAAGGACAAAGAGCTTGTGGTGGGCAAAGGGGTTGCGCAGACTGCGAGGACATTCGGCGAAGGTGCTATTTTTACGAGCTAAGCTTGAGCAAAATGCTATTAGGGTTGATGCTCTAAGTGCAGAATGGACGGATAAAGTGGCCGAGCTAGAGAAGAAAGTGACCGAGATGGAGAGAGCCGAAAATGCTTGAGCGTCGGCTTTGGCAAGGGCGACGACGCTAGAGGACACTATCCGTGTCCTTCAGTTCGAGCAGGGATCTGAGAGGGCGACGACCACATTGAGGGAGGCACGGCTCGAGGAGCGAATTGGTAAACTTGATCGGGAGGCTTCGAGCTTGGGAGATCGGGTCGCGGCTCTTAAAGCTGAGAAAGTGTAGTTATTGGCCCAAGCTCCCCTCAAGAGTCTACTTCGGTTACTGTTCCCTACCGCCTGTATGAGCTATGGGTCCATGCTGATGCCCAACGTGATATCTACAAGGGTTTGTGAGAGGCGGGGAGTATTCCAGAGGCCGCATTTGAAGATGCTCGGGCGAAGGCACGCGAGGCTCGTACTGCCTGCGGTTACGACCCTGCGACGCCGGAGGCTGGTGAGGGCGTTGATGTTGAGGATGGGCTCTCTTCTGAGGATGATGATGTTGGGAAGAAAGGCAATGGGGATGACGCCGAGGGAAACTTTTCTGCAACCTTTGTACTTAGTTTTTTTTGTTCTTTTGTTATTTATTTTCATCTATCTCCCGAGGGCCCGCTTTGTCCTTTTGTAAGGTGAGACTATTGCACACGTATATTTGAATGAAATAGTTGTTTCACCTTCGTTTGTGTATCTTTTGATTTTCTTTTTCCTTCCCTCCTGTTTGTTGTTGTTTTTTTTGGCGTAGACCCTCAGATTTCTTCATGTCGAGTCCCTGAACTTTTGATTGGGATTCGAACGAGGGCGAAACTAGTTTTCTCTATCTGAGCAAAGTCGAGTTTTGTTATGTGAGTTCGAATGAGGTCACCTCGGATCTGCAAGTTCAAACGAGATTGACTTCTGATTTTCCAACTTGGGCGGAATTAACCTTGATTTGTATATTCGAATGGAGTTGAATTGACTGGCCAACTTGGGCGAAGTCAAACTTGACTTATGTATTCGAACGGGGTCGAATTTAGACTTGCCAACTTAGGCGAAATCGGTTCTGACTTATACATTCGGGCGAGGTCGAACTTAGAGTTGCCAACTTGGGAGAAGTCAGTTTTGATTTATATGTTTGAGTGAGATCGAACTTTCCTTTCATTTGGCGATGGCCGATGGTCATGAGGGTGTTAATTCGAGCGAAGTCGGAATTGTGACCCGTTGTAAATTAGAGAAAAGTCGAACTTTCCTTTCGTTTGGCGATGGCCGATGGCCGTAAGGGTGTTAATTCGAGTGAGGTCAAAATTGTAACCCGTCGTGAATTCTAGCGAGGTCAAACTTTCTTTTCGGTTGGCAATAGCCGATGGCCGTAAGGGTGTTAATTCAAGCGAAGTCGAAATTGTAACCCGTCGTGAATTCGAGCGAGGTCAAACTTTTCTTTCATTTGGTGACGACCGATGGTCGTAAGGGTGTTAATTCGAGCGAAGTCGGAATTGTAACCCATTGTATTATTTTTATTGGAGGACATTACACGTCTCCGTGTTGTTTATGCGTGCGTCGGGGCAAGTCCCGATATGCTTGGTTTTGCTTTCATTGGAGAATACCGTGCGTTTCATGGGTGAGTCCCAGTTTGCTTAACTTTGCTTTCATTGGAGAATACTCTATGTTCATAGGTGAGTCCCAGTTCGCTTAACTTTGCTTTCATTAGAGAATACTGTGCGTTTCATGGGTGAGTCCCAGTTCGCTTAACTTTGCTTTCATTGGAGAATACTGTGCATTTCGTGGGTGAGCCCCCTGTTCTGGAGATTGTTTCTTAATTGTCGGCTTGTGCTGAACCGTTTCTGTTATTTGTAGTACGGTACGTAATAGATGTCTTTGCTCGGTCATTGCTTGTGAGATGGTATGTTACAGAACCTTTTCTTGGGGTGTTTTGGTGGCGTTCGTTCCTTGTTCGCATACCTGTGAGAGTGCTCGTGTTCCTGTTCCAAACCAACAAGAGAGCGTGATAAGTTAAACCCATACGAAATTGCTTGTTACCTTGGCCTGGTAAATCGGTGAAAGGAGGAACGACGCTATAGGGTCGCTCGCTTTGCCTCGTACTCGAATGATGATTTCAGATTTGGCGGCCGTGTTCGGCTTCGTCGTTAATCGCGTCTAGGCTTCTCATGGGTTGGGCTTACCTTGCCCGTTGGGATATTGAAACCGAATCCCAGTCCGACCCCGTCCGATATGCATAAACAATAAGGGAAACACGTCATACTCTGTTCATAAATCACCCAGTGCATGTGGGTACGAAAATAAGGCATGATATGCTCGTTATTTCAAAGAATCACATAGTAGGCTATCGTCCCTTCCTAAGATGTGGAAGTACATGCCGATATTTAAGGTGAATACGTCAAATGAGATTGCGGTCGTGCTAAGCGCATAGTGACCGTGATCCTACTTTAAACATGCACATGACGTGCCAAACCCATCGCTGCAGGTGAGGCGTGAGTTTTGCATAGACATCGGTCATAATTTCTATTTCATATAGAGATCTGACCTAGATTGGTTTAGTTAACTCAAAAGCTTATCTACCACTTTTCCGAGTCGGTGTTTATACCGAGACAACGAGGCTTTGACAACCTGGAAGTGATACTTGGCTGGTTTTAGATCTAAAGGAAACTAAAAAATTGGCTAAGAAATCCCCACAGACAACGCCAAATTATTTGACCAAAAGTGTTGAGCTCTTGGTTAAACTAATTAATGAAGAAAATGGAGGATAAATCTTAGCCAAACATAATTAACTCTAGATCTGAACATATTGAATATGAGAATCGAACGAGGTCGAGTTTACATAACACTTCTTAAGATTATTAAAAGACATTAAACATAAATGATAAGCTTACACCTTTGACACATTATTCCGTACTTGTAAGAACAAAGAAGGAATGGACGAAATGTCATTGATAACTATGAGATCTATCTTTATTCATTCAACAATGACGATTACAAAGGTTTGCAACCATAATCTAGGTTGTTGCTTTGATGTTGGAGGTCTCCTCCTGTTCTTCTGTTCCTTTTTCTCTCCCGGGATCCCCTTTTCTTGCCTTCATATATATATATTACGAATCTTCTCCTTTATCCAATGGTATTTAACCAGCATACCCCCACTTGACTATACTCTTCCTTACTTGCTCAAGTATTACGACATATATTCTGCCGTGCAAGCCTTCTGATGGCTCGATCTCGGCAGTGGCCGGGTATTCGTTGCTATTACGCCTTGTGGGTACTACTATGGCTTGATCGACCCTTACTATTCTTTTTAATTTTGACCCATACAGTATATATATAAAAATTTTGTTTCTTAGTAAAGTTATTTGATTAGTTAAATCTTTTTGTTAGTAGAGGAGAGTATATAATTGTAATGTAACTGCATTTCCCCCCAAATTTAGCATTATTTCCTCCTAATTTGAGCATAGAACTTATAAGAAAAAAGAAAAAAAAAGAGAGAAAAAAGAAGGAAAAAAAATAGCGCCCCCTTTGACTAAAAAGGGACCACGAGCAGACTTGTCCATCTGCATTCTGCACTGTGGAAAAGCAAAGTAAAAACAAAATAAAGATATGCACAAAAAGCCATATACCTCTGCAAGCAAAAAGCATTAATCTCAGTTCAGAACCTGAAAAAGAAGAAGAAAAATCTCCGATCCGATTCTTTGCAACGATACACTTATGTGGGTTTTTCACAGCACAAATCCTTCATTTCTGTAATTTCTTTTTCATCATGCCATCTCGCGAACTCCGTTCTTTACCGCCGACGCCGACGCTGTCTCAACCAGTTCACCGTCAGAGACACCACCTCCTTCCACCACTTGCCGGAGGTATCGCCGCCGCAGCCTCCCTCCTTATTCTCTTCACTTTCTGCTTCCGAAAAATTAGCCATAAGAAAACCGTCCCATCTTCCGACTCCGAGTCAAATAAAAAACCCCCTCACCGGTTCTCCTACTCCTCTCTCCGACGCGCCACTTCCAACTTCTCTCCAGCTCTTCGCTTGGGCCAAGGCGGGTTTGGATCAGTCTACAGCGGAACTCTCAAAAGCCCAACTTCCAATAATGTTTCAGTGGCCGTTAAAGTCATGGATTCAGGGTCCTTACAAGGCGAGCGCGAATTCCAAAATGAGCTGTTCTTATCTGGTAAAATCTACTCTAAATACATAGTATCTACAATCGGTTTCTCTTCAGACAAAAGAGGCCGCCGTATGTTACTTGTTTACGAGCTTTTGTCTAACGGAAGTTTACAAGACTGCCTTTTGCATCGCAAGTGCAGTGAATTAAAAGATTGGAAAAAGAGGTATTCAATTGCTCTTGATATAGCTAAAGGGTTAGAGTATTTGCACCATTTCTGTGACCCAGCAGTGATTCACGGCGATATTAAGCCGAGTAATATTTTATTGGATGATAATTTTAATGCAAAAATTGGTGATTTTGGGTTGGCACGGTTGAAATCAGAGGATCAGGTTGAAATTGAAGTGAAAAAGGAGAGTCCTGTAGGA